CATGGGCTCCACCCCGAAGTCCAAGTGGTCTCGGACAAGGGTGGCCGCTCCGTTGACCCTCTCGTGGTTGGCGTTGAAACTAGCAGCTGGGTTGTGAGCAAGCCAACCCCGACGTTGGCGCTATTGAAATCTGGCGCATGACGCCCCCATCAGTTAGCCTGTGTTCCTGGACACAGATCACTGTCACGTCATTGGACCAGTCCGAAACTGCTCAAAGGTTTTCCAGCAACTGCCATTGAACGTAGTGAGCTTGATCGTGTTTAACCCGCGACGTACTCGCCGCGGCCGCCGCTGCGACTGCGGCTTTGACCTTCTTGGCCGTCTCGGCGTCGCAGGTGGCGTCCACGAGGTTGGCAGTCCCCTGAAGTTGGGGGGATGTGCGCTTGTCGCCGCAGCCGATGCCCACGAAGTCCATGGCGTCGTCCTCCTCGTCCTGGTCCGCGTCCACGGGCTGCTCCGCGGCGCCGGCTGGCGGCGTCTGGGGCGCGGCGGGCGGCGCGGCGAACGTGGGCGGCGCCTGCAACGGCGGCGCCTCCGGCAGGGCACCCGCGGCGGCGGAGCTGGCTGCGGTGGTCGCCTCGAGCTGGGCGGTCTGCTGGGCGACTGCGGCCTCGTGCTGGCGCTGCATCTCGTTGAACGTGGCCGCGGGCGTCGGCGCCTGCAGCTGGAGGGCCGCGGGCATGGGGCCGCCTGCTGGGATCTTGGCCTGCAACGCCGCGTAGACCAGCTCTGATATGTCAGACGATGCTGATGCCTCGTGCGCTGCTGCAGTTGCCGCCATGGCCCGTTGGGCCTCCAGCGATTGCAGTTCTTCGCGGGCATCCTGAATCTATTTCGTCCCGGAATGGTAGTGTCTGGCCAGCTCTGCGATTTGGTCTGCGGTCGTCTGGAGGTCCTCCTCGAGGTCGGTGAGCTTGGCCTTGAGCGAAGTGATCTGCCCGTTGAGCGATTTGGGTCTGTTGGTCGAGACTCTTGCCCTTGAGGGCCTCCATCTTCGCATTCTTGAGCATCTCCAAAGCGTCTGTGTGCTCGCGCCCGTTGACTCAGAAGGTGACCTGGGCCTGCGCCAGCGCGACTGGATCTGGTTGGGCTGGGGCGCCTGGTTCTCAGTCTTGCGCCTGCTGCTGCGAGGGCTGCTCCTCGTTGCCGCCGTCCATGAAGCGGGCTCGAGGTCCCCGGGCGGCGCCGCGTCTTCGCCCGCTGGGGCGGGGCCGATGGGGGGGCTGCCTGCTGCTCGCTCGACTCCGCGGGCCGTCGGCCTGGCGGTGCGTGCCGCACTGCGAGCAGGCCTTGGCGGGTGCCCATTCCCATCCGCGGCAGCTGGGGCGGGGGCGCACCAGGTGCTTGCCGCGGGGGGCCATGGCGCAGCACTGACGAGGGCGAGGGCGCCAAGAAGCAGACTGGCTGGAGAAACCGCGGGCTCCAAACCTTCCGATGCCGAAAACCGAAGGTGGAGGGCCCGGGGCAGGGGCTGCCCGGCCGCCCTCGGAGCGCCCGGGGCCAGGGTGGCAACGGCGCTCTCGCCCCCTTTGGCCCCCGCGTGGGGGCCAAGTCGGACGCGGGCCAAAATGGCTACGGAGAGGAAGACGGAGGAGGAGGAGGCGGAGGAGGAGGAGGAGGACTTGGGGTCTTCGGCTTGCGCGGGAAGCCCACCTCGGCCCGTGCACGTGCCTCCCAAAGGCGCCCCTCCCCGCTGCGTTAATGGGCGCTCCTCGGCCTCGCGCCGGGATCCCTCGGGATCCGCGCGCGAGAGTCAGGGGGGGCAACAACTTTTACGTCGGCGGCGAGGCGGGGCAATCCGCTCCAGCGAGACAGTCAGCTGCGCCACATCGATAGCACCACACGCATTGCACAACATATGTAGCACTGCATACATTGTGCGCCACATGGATTTCACCACATCTATTGTACAATATAGCATGTACCATGTATGTTGCGCAGCAGATGTTACCAGACACGCGCTGTTTTTGGGGTGCGCGTTGGCGAACACTTGTTGGACGATATAGGATTTGCGATATTAGTAACGCAGTTCGCCCTGCCGAGCTCGAAATTGTCAATTCGGCTTGTCGCGGAATTATCCCATCCGCCCACCCGCGCCTTGCAGAACCAAAGCGACGGCCAGTGCGACGACTGTTTGGCGCTAGCTGGCGCGTTGCTGCGGCCGCGTTAGCGCGCGCAGGCTCGCGCGCAGAGCGGCCGGGTAGTCTGGCGCGACCGACGCTGCCACGGCGGCGCTGACCGTTGAACCCTTCCCAGCGCCTCTTGCAGGTCGCGCTGGCGCGCGGGCGCCTCCGAGCGAGTCTGCAATTCGGGCGGGCGCAGTATCGTGACGTTGATGGTAGCGGCGTCAAAGCGAATGACGGCGCCCATGCTGATCACGCCGGAGACGATGATGGCGCCCACGCGTTGGCGATGAAGGCTTTCTTGTGGATTTCAACGTGCGCGCCCAGCGACGCGCGAGAGTTGCCCGCGTGGTATTATTTGAAATCCCAGCACGCGCGCAAGGGCGTTCGAATGATTCCGGCATGCGCGCGCGAAACGCCCGGTTGGTTGCAGTTTATGAAAGATTAGCAACGGCGCGTGTGGGTCGCTTTTCCAACGTCAAATTGCAAAACCACGTGTTCGATTCCAAGGCGTTCGTCTTCTGCAAACCCGCGTGTTTTGAAGGATTGCTGCATCCGCGCGCAGCGTCGCGCGTGCGTTTGCCCCATTCTATGTATGGCAAGGGGTTCTTGAACATGGACGAATGTTGTTGATAAGTGGGTGTGCGCGCGTGCTGTTTTTCCCAAGCGATGGCGGGTGTGTGGGTGTGGGGTGTGGGGGGGGTTTGCCTGGCTTGGGTGGTGTGAACTAGTATTTGGAATGATTGATGGACCGAAATCGTTTGTAAATTGTGCGTCCCCAGGGTTGCCGATAATCCTGGCTTCTGGAGGTGGTCGACCCCAATGCTTTTGTAGAGCGGAGGGTCTATGTGGTGCGATCTCATGGTTTTGGCCCATCCGGCCACCGTGCCTGGGTTGTGGGTATGAGGCTCGTGGATGGTCGTTGGGGTCTCGTCGAGCCTGGAGGCAGTCTGGGGCCCCTGGGGTGCTGTGTTGGGGCCTCTTGGGCTGTTTTGTTTTTTTGGGGGGCGTTTGGGAGCCCCGTGGGGGACTTTTGGAAGCCTTTTGGGGCCTCCTGGGTGCCTCCTGGGGCGGAAGGTGTGTACTTATCGTTCCAATGGGGCAGAATCGTACGTGGTGCGAAAAAGTGGCCCGTTCAATCCGGGGGGGGGAGGTCTTAATATTTGTTGGGAAATGAAAGGACGATCTACGTTGTGCAATGTCGTCGGCGGCGGCGGGGTGGCGACGGCGACAACACAGCGGCCAGTCCGGCGGCCAGGCCCAGACGACGGGCGGCGAGGAGTCGGCGAAGGGGCGGCCACGGCGGCCAATTACATAGTTGCCAGATCAACAGGTAGGCCCAGACGACGGGCTGTTCTGTTGCATCCTCGGGGGACCTCGCCTGTCCCAAACATCGGTGTCTTTTTGGGGGCCCCGACGCGTGCTCGATGCGGACTCGGCGCGGATTTGGCGTGGATTCGACGCGGATTCGACACGAATTCGACACGGATCCGAGGCGGCCGACATGGATTCGACATGGATTCGACGCGGACAGGGCCGCGACGGGACAGACAAGGTCCCCCGAGGATGCAACATCAGGGCTGCGGCGAGGCGGCGACGAGGCGGCGGCGGCGCGGCGACGGCGGCTGCATAGCCGCCGGACCAACAGCCAGGCCCAGTTCCTGAGACAAGCAGTGAGATCTCTGGATTGCAAACGCTGGCTGGGAAGTAGCTCCCTTCGGGTTGGGAAATGCCCCCCTTTCCCACGCTGCCCCAGGTCCTCTTGGCCACGCTCTGGTCGGACGCATGGGGGGAACAGTAACAAGGGGGTTACGAAATCTGCTGCATGCAGCTGGTTTCGACCCCGCCGCCAGTCGCTTTCCTCATACATACGTAAGCTGACTCGCTATCCCCTTCCCTTTCCCCCCCCCCTGCCCTTTCCTCCGCCCCGACACGCCTGCAGAGCGGTGGTCGTAGGCAGATCCCGGCGTGGAACTCCCCCCTCGCCCGTCGCTCGGTGCACCCAAGACGGTGTGGTGACCGCCGCGCGGTGAGCCAGTGGGGACTCGGGGTCACCGTACAGTTTGGACCCCTACGGTCGTTCTCCGAGGACGTCTCGGGCGACTGGGGTCTCCGAGGTCCCAAGACCATGCGGTGACGGACCTCGCGGTGAGGGTGTTGGGCTTTCCCGAAGTCATCAAGCGGTCCGTCGCCACAAGGTTTTGATGCCCCGAACAAGAGGCACCGATGCCCCTACTCCCCGGACCTCTCCCAGGGTGCATTCCGGCCAGAACTTCGAGGCAGATCCAGCCGTGGCGACGAGGGCCTCGCAGGAGGCTCAAGAAGGCGAAAACGAAGGAAGGGTAGCAGCATCGTTACCTGCTCCTCCTCTGAGGCATTTCGAGGGGGTCCAGAGACCAGGGGGTGGTGCAATAGATTTGGTGCAATATATTTGTGGGGTTGCAATACATTTTGGGGCGTGCGATACATCTGGGTGCGCAAATGTATTGCTGGATTTTCGAGTGCAGCACATTACTTGCAATACAATGCAATACAAGTCTCCGGCGCAGTACAGTCAACCCTGATAGGAAGGATGGGGCAACTTTCCATGGCTACCCTTGCATCCTTGCCCCTTCGGTATTCGGCATCCTTCGGCATTCTGCTGCGCTCCGCACGGAAAACGTCCGCATGGCGTTCCAAGGCCCTTGCACCCTGACCGCGCATCCTTACTATCCTGGTCGAGTATACATTCGCAATGCAATTGCCCCAAATCTGTCGCACATCCCCCTTTCAGCTGGCCCCCCCTTCTGGGTCCGCCAGACGAGGTCACCACGCGGTCCCCCGCCGCGTGGTCTTGACGCCCCCGCCCCTCGCTGCCTCCGCGCCCCGTGCCGCCCAGGGGCGCGGCGGCGGCCGTGCCGCCGGCAGCGGCGCCCGCCGGTGGCGCGCCTCTGCAGCGGCGCCGCTGCCCGCCGGCCGTCCTGCCGAGAGACGGACGGAGCCGTCGGCGGCGGCGGCGTCGTCGTCGTCCTCCTCTTCTTCGCTGTCTCCCTTGCCGACGGCGTCGTCGGCGCCTGTGCCTGCATCGTCCTCGTCCTCGCCGTCGGCGCCGTCGGCGCCGTCGGCGCCGTGGCCGGCGCCCCGGCTGGCGGGGCGGAGCTGGTCGAGGGGCGCCTTCTCCTCCTCCTGCTCCACCTCCTCCCCCCCTCTTCCTCCATCCCTTTTCCTTAAAGATAACTCCTCCCTGTCGCACCCCGAGGCCGGTCGAAAGGGCTGGCTGGGCGTTTCGCCTGAGACTTCCTCACAATTTGTGCGTTTGATGCTTATAAGCCGGCAACTGTTTCACAGATGGAGGGCGGGTGGTTTTCAAAATGTGGTTCTCGCTTTAGCGTCGCGCAGATTCGTTATACAATTTTGCAAGACACGGATTGAGGGCTGGCCGTTTTCAACATGAGGTTCTTGCCTTAGCGCGCGCACGTTCGTTGCACAAATGCAAAAGTTTCAAGGATTGATGGCGGGCCGTTTTCAAAATGTATCGGGCGAAGAGAACTATGCACATGCACCGATCCTGACAAGGCCCATCCTTGACCCAGGATCGGTGCATATGCCTTCCTGGCCAAGGTAGGAGGGCGGCGTATGAACCGATCCTGGGCTCAGGATGGGCCTGGCAAGAATCGGTGTATGTGCATAGTTCTTTTTCCTCTAAATGTAGCTCTCGCCCTGGCGCAGCGCACATTTTACAACTTCGCAGAAGTTTCACCGGTTGGGGGCGGTTCGTTTTCAAATTGTGGTTCTCGCCGCAGCGCCGCGCACATTCGTTATTCTAGACATTGGAAGAATTGTCACGGGTTGAGCGCGGTTTGTTTTCACAATGTGGCTCGCGCCTTAGCGCCGCGCGCAGTCGTCGTTCAACAGTGCAGTAGTTTCACGGGTTGAGGGCACGTCGTTTTTAAGGTGCAGCTCGCGCCGTCGCGCCGCGCACACTCGTCGTAAACGTTTGCACGAGTTTCGCAGACTGGGGGCGGGCCGTTTTCAAAGTGAGACTCGCCCCAGCGCCGCGCGCTTTCGTTTCAGCAGATTGCGAGAGGTTCACGTATTGAGGGCGGGCCGTTTTCGAATTGTGGTTCTCGACGAAGCGCCGCGCACATTCGTTTCAAGATTTCGAAAGCGCTTCGCGGATTCAGGGCGGGTTCTTTACAAATCGTGGCTCTCGCTTCAGCGTCGCTCCCACTAGTTTGTGCCATTTGCAAGAACTTCTTTGATTCGCATGGATAGCATTCCAGAAATCGTGATTCGGAGCGGTTCAGGATTGTCAGGGCGCAACGATTACGTTAATTCGCGCTGTCGATGTCACAGGAATTGTGCTCTGGCACGATTCAGGACCGCCAAGACGTAACAGTTAGGCTCATTGGTGGCGTTGAAGTCCTGACACTGGTGTTTAGGCATGCTTCAGGATTTTCACGCGGTTGTCCCCCAACGGGGCAATTTCCTCAGTGGGAATGAAGCGTTGTAGGGGCCCAGGAAGAGGGAGCTTGGAGGGAGGGTGTATTCCAAAATCGTGGATGAGTCTTGGGTTTACACCGGTCCTCCTCCTCCTCCTCCTCCTCCTCCCTCTCCTCGTCCTCCCTCTCGTCGTCCTCAACCTCCTCTCCTCCTCCTCTTCCTCCTCGTCCTCCTCCTCCAGGTCGAGAGGGGGGCGATGGCTCGGTTTGGGATGTCATGTCTGGTGACGAAATCTGTGCGCATCCACTGCCCCCTGGCCGGGCCCTCCCTGGGCCCAGACGACGATGATGGGGATGCGGATGCGCATGCTGCTGATGATGATGGTGATGGTGATGATGATGATGATGATGATGATGCTGCTGATGATGCTGGTGATGCTGATGCTGATGCTGATGCTGATGCTGATGATGATGATGGTGGTGATGATGCTGATGCTGATGCTGATGCTGACGCTTATGCTGTGGAGGATGATGATGATGCTGATGCTGATGATGATGATGATGCTGATGCTGATGCTGATGCTGATGATGATGATGATGATGATGATGATGATGATGATGATGATGATAATGATGATGATGATGATGACGATGCTGATCTTGATGATGATTGCGGCGATGATGACGATGAGGAGGAGGAGGAGGAGGAAGAGGAGGAGGAGTAGGAGGAGGAGTAAGACAGTAAGGCAGTTCTCTTCGGATCCGCTCGGCAGAGTTGCGGAGCCTGCGCGGCGATCGGACAGAGAGAGAGGAGGAGGCAGGGGCATGATCTTGGAGTCCATCTGCAGCAGGAGGGCGAGGAGGAGCAGGCGCAGGAGGGGGAGGGACAGGGTGCGAGGCTTCGCTGGAGGGCACGCGCGTTGGAGGCCACTTGGCTGCATCCTCTCAGTACGTCGCCTTCGGGTCTGCTCCCGAAGCTTTGCCCTGGCGAGCGGCGGACGCGGGAGTGCGGGTGTTCCCCTCGTTGTGTGCTTCATCGTGAACACACTTTGGAGAGGGCTTATGCGCGGGGGGACAATGATCAAATGATGATGGCGATGCTCATGTTGTTGCTGCTGCTGATGATGATAATGGCGGTGATGATGATGATGATGATGATGATGATGATGATGATGATGATTACGATGATGAGGATGAGGATTCAGATAATGGTTGTGGTGGTGGTGATGGCGAGGCTGATGACGATGATGAAGATGACGGTTCATATTATGATGCCGATGCTGATGATGATGATGATGGTGATGATGATGATGATGGTGATGCTGATTATAATGACGATGCCGATGATGATTATGCTGTGGATGATGATAATGATGGTATTGATGCTGACGCTGATGATTATGATGATGATTATGATACTGATGAGGAAGCTGATGATGCTGATGATGATTATGATGATGAGGCGGAGGAGGAAAAGGAGGATTCAGATGATGAGGATGACGTGGATTCAGGTGAGGAGGACAACGGATGAGACGAGTACGCTGCTCCTGCGGAGAAGGAGGAGGAGGAGATGGAGGAGATGGAGGCGGCGGAGGAACCGACGATGATCACCATGATGTTGAGGGTGATGACGGTGATAATTATGGTGCTGACGATGAGTTGACGACTCTTTTGATGATGGCGGTGGCGTTGTCGACGACGATGACGATGATGATGATGCTGATGATGATGATGATGATGATGATGATGATGATGATGCTGATGCTGATGATGATGATGCCGATGGTGATGGTGATGATGTTGATGGTGGTGATGATGATGATGATGATGATGAGGATGATGGCGCTGATGAATAAGACGATGATGATGCTGATGACGATGATGGTGCTGCTGATGGCGATGATGAGGATGATGATGATGATGATTCTGATGAAAGGCCCTGATGCGGATGCTGCTGCCGATGGACGATGTGTCTGACGCTGCTGCTGCTGCTGATGATCGCGGCGGCAGCGATGAGGATGGTGGTGGTAATGATGATGGTGATGGTGGTGATGATGATTATGGTGATGAGTTGCTCATAAGGACAATGACTATGACGGTGACGATGATGATTATGCTGTGGATGATGAGGCTGATGATGAGGACGGCGATGCTGATTACGATGATGATCATGATGATGGTAATGCTGATGATTCTGATGCTTACAAGTCTGATTATAATGATGATGATGATGGTGTTGATTCTGGTTATGATGATGCTGATGATCATGATGATGATGATGATGATGATGATGATGATGATGATGATGATGATGATGCTGATGATGATGATGATGATGATGATGATGATGAGGTTGAGGATGATCATGCTGATGGTAATGCTGCTGACGATGATGATCATCCTGATTATCATGATAATGGCGGCGATGAAACTGCCGCTGATGAAGATGGTCGACGACGTCGCGGTTGCTGCTGATGAGGAATGTGATGATGGTCTACTGCGACGGCGATGATGATGATTCGGATGACGATCATGATTGAGATGAGGAGGGGGTCGATGATGCTGATGATGACGATGCCAGCGATTCTATCGATGATGCTGACGGTGGTGATGATGATGCTGATGAACCTCATCACGATTACGTTGACGATGATGATTATCTTGCCGATGGCGGTGACGATGGTTCTGCTGCTGACGATGACGAGGTTGGTGGCGGCGGTGTTGCGGAGGAGGAGGGGGAGGGAGAGGAAGAGGAGGATGCGTAAAGAGAGATACGACTAGAGTAGATATTGAAGGCGGTTCACTTATATATGTATACACACATCTCTCTCTCTCTCTCTCTCTCTCTCTCTCTCTCTATATATATATATATATATTTTTTCAGACTTCGGCATCAGACGGAATAGTTGATATCACAGCCACGTTTCAAGGGCACCCGTAGGTAGTGCGCGGGGGTTGGCAATTCTTTGCGACGATCGCCTCCTTGCGCTGGCCCGTGGTCGACACAGCGAAGTCCCTCCCTACCCTCGCCCCTTCCCCCTCTCAACCCCTCGCCCTCCCCCTTCTCCCCCTCCCCTGTTTCCGCCCTCTTCGCGCTTCACCCCTTCGTCCATTCACCCCTTCATCCTTCCCTTCCCTTCCCCTGCCTCCCCCCTCTTCTCATCTCTCCCTCTCTTCCTCCCTCTCTTCCTCCCTCCTTCCTCCCTCCTTCCTCCAGTCCTCCCTTCCTCCCTTCCTCCCTTCCTTGCTCTTGTCGTCCTTCTACCTTCCTTTACCCTTCTCTATTCTCTCTTCCTCCCTTCCTCTCTCTTCTTCTCCACTATCTCCTCACCCTATTCCTCCATCCCACTGTTCTCTCCTCCTTTCTCCATCCCTTCCTTTCCCTTCCCTTTTGCCCCTCGTTCCGTCAGCGTTCCATGGACTCCGAGGGTTCGCGCAGCTATGCCCCCCCTCAGGTGGCATGGGCGGCGATACGGACGATAGCGGGAAGAAGGGCAATAAGGGTAAGTTCGGAAAAGGCACCCGCCACCTTCCTCCCTCCGCCTCTCCTTGCTGTTGCTCCTCCCTTCTTCATCGCTTCCCCTGCTGCTGCTGCTGCTCCTCCTCCTCTCCCTTCCCCTTCCCCTCCCCCTGCTCCACCTCGGCCTCCTCTTGCTCCTCCTGCTGCCGCCGCTGCTGCTCCTCCTCCTCCTCCTCCTTCTCTGCCTCCGGCCATTTTGGCTCCCGGCGTGCTGCGGGGGGGCGCCCGATTGCGTGGTGGCCCAGCGCCCAGCGCGCGCAGCGGCCCCTCGGCTGCGCCCATGCGCCCGCGAAGCCGCGCTCCGGGAGCTCCTCGGCGAAGGGGCGTCAGGCCCTGGCGGACGGCCGCGGGCTGTGGCTGGGCGGCGAGGGCGAGGGGGCCGTGCCCCCCTGGGGCGCACCCAGACGTGCTCGCGTTCTGGGCAGACATCGGGACTCAGTATCGTTTCATCGACCCCCATCCCCATCCTCATCCTCCTCGAGGCCCCCGCCCAGATTGCCACCCCGGTTGGGGGTACACCCCACGAAGCCCGAAGGGAACGGCCTACATCTCCAACTTAGGGGGGTAAATCGGCCAGTGGGGCCCAGGCCACGCCGCTGGGGATGGGGATCGGTTAAACGATGCTCAGGGACGGGCGTTTTTTCAATATGGGCCCTCGCCGGGCCCCAGGACCGTCAGCAAGACGACTCGGGAAGAGAAACTGGTCCTGGCTACAGTGGGACCGGGGTGCAAGGTCGAGGTCGGTTCGGGGAGGGCACCCTTCGTGCTCTTCGTGCTTGTTGGATGCTCGTGTGCACCCTGGGGGAGGGTACCCATCGAGTGCTCCTCATTCTGGCCGGTGGAGGGTCTCCTGTCCTTGGAGGATGTGCTTCTGTCCCAGGTCCGGCAGCAGAGGGTCGGGGTGGCGCCGCAGCGCAGCGCGGCGCGGGGCTGCTGGCCAGGCGCATTGCCCCTTCGCTGCTCGTCCAGCTCGACAGCGACAGCTTGGTCCCCATTTTGTGGGCGTTGTGTTTTCCTCCTCCTTCCTCCCCCTCTTCCCCCTCCCGCGTCCTATATCATGACGTGCTGGTTTTTGTGAATTGGCTGGTTGGGCCATTCTGTATCTTCCAGGTCGCTCACACACACGGGGGCGATACGATTTCCGGCAATTTAGCGCAGCCCCTAGAACAAAAAAAAAAACAAAGCGAGACGATTCTCCCCCGTCCTCCTCTTGTGGAGCGAAGATCAGGCACTCCGTCGTGGGCAGGTCTGCCCGCGCTCGTGCTGCTAAGAGTGCTGCTTGGCGAGAGAGGTTCGACGATGACGTCTGCACTCACAGCGACATGCATCGCTGCGACCCGAGCAATCTGGTGTCTCCGCCTCCTGGCCGCCTCCACGTGCTCGTAGTGACGCTGAAGAATTCCTGGCTCAGCAGTATCGCGATTTTGACGCCCTTCCCGGTTATTCCGAATCTCCCCAAAGATGCGAGGCAGCCCTGGTTGAATTGCTTGCGTCGGCACCTGGGTGCTCTGGTGGTTCTCGGGTGCGCCCCGACTACACGGAGCTCGTCTCCCGGCCCCTGTGCGCGTCTCCTGTCCCGACAGCAGACTTCGTTGCGGACGCCACCGTCAGATGCTGATAGGGTGGGCGCACCATATGCTACGCGACCCTGCCGAATCGGCAGCACCGAGGAAGGAGTTGGGGCTCCGCCAGCCCTGCGTAGATCCCGCCTTCTGTTCCGACTTCGGGAGGGCGCTGATTTTTTGGTGCGCCCGCATCGAGCGGGCATGTTTGACTGGGAGGTCACTGAGCGCCATGCGGCGTTCTCTAGTTGCTTCTTCCTCGTCGACAAGGCCAGCGGCGTCAACCTGCGCCTCGCGTTCGATGCGCGGGTGGCCAACTTGTCCTTCGCGGCCCTTCCTTTTACGAGGTTGCCGACGCTGTCGGCGTGGAGTGCGCTCGAGGTCAGCCGTGATGATTTCGTGGCCCAGGGTGACATCCAGTGCGCATTCTACCACACGATGTTCCCACCGCATCTTATCGCTCTTTTTGCTGCCCGTGGTGCCCTGGCTTCAAGCAGCTGGGCGGCGCGCGGCCCGGCGCCAACGCTTACTTGCAGCCGTTCGTGGTCGTAATGCTGCTGGGCAGGTCGTGGGTTTTTGCGTTTCTGGTATTCCACCTTCGCCGCAGACGTGATCGACGCGGGCATTGGCGCGAACTCTCCACTGGTCGACGGGGCCGAGGTGCCGCCGCTTCGCGAGGACACCGACGTCGTCGCCGCGGGCTGCGTGGACAGCTTCGCCACCGTGTTCTTGGACCCTGGCGTGGCCGCCGCCTCGTGCCAGGCCGTGCGCGCCGTGCTGGCGGCGAGGGGGCACGCCGCCGGTGAATTCGCGCCCGCTGCCCAGCGGGTCGCGTTCACGGGCCTGGGCGTCCTCGGCGACCTGGGCGTCATCAGGTGCAAGGGCGAGCGGCTGTGCTGGCTGCGCCAGGCTCTGCTCGGACTGCCCAGGCGGGGTTTCGCTTCGCCGCCGGCGCTACCAGCGGGGCTGGGCCGCTGCGCCTGGGGGGCAGGATCGCGAGCGGGCCCGCGCTGTCGATCGGTCCATGCCGTGTGCCGCTTCATGGGCTCGCGCAAGAAGAGAGCCGCCCGGTGGTGGGTGTCCGTGGTCGCCGATCTCAGGGCGGCCGCCGCCCTCGCCCCGCTCTGGCAGTCCAACGTCAAGGCAGAGTGGGCCGCCACCGCCTCCTGCAGTGATTCGTCGCCCTACGGCATCGGGGTCTACGGCAAGGCGCGCGGCCGAGAGACGGCGGTGTCCGCGGGCCGCCTTCCCGAGGGTCGGCGCTATCGTTTTTGTTTCTCCGGATTCTGCGCGCGCCCGAGCTCGCGCGCCCTGTCTCGAGCCCAGCGCCGTTTGGGACTGCTGTGCAGGAGCAGCTGTCTGGAGGAATGCAGCCATCGTTTGAGGCCTCCTGGGGGCCCTCGAGGCCCCTCGTCATCAGCATCACCATCGCCTTGCACGACGATCTCCGTGGCTCAGCGGCCTGGTCTGCTTCGACGGCGATTCCGGCGGCGGGCCGATCGACGGCCGCGGACAGCGACTTCGACGAGGTCCCCGAGGCGATCGCGGCGGTCGACGGCTGGACTACGATCCATCCTTCTCGGCGTTCGAGGCTCGGGTACGACGTCGTGCGATCCGAGGCGGAGGCTCTGGGCTTTGCGATGCGACGTTCGGCTCGGTCTGGGCCGCGTCGTCACCGTCGCGTCCTTCTTTCCGTCGGCAAGTTGGCCTTGGCTCTTGCCGCTGGCTCTCGCCGCTGGCAATGGTCGTTCTGGCGCTCGAGGTCTTCGGAAGCCCCTGCGCCGCCGATGCGTGCTGTCGGCGGCCGCTGGCATTCGCCGCGCGATTCGGTGGGCCCCCTGCGCGCGCCATGCCGCTGACGCTGCGCCGAGGTTAGCTTCTCTCGTCGGCCCGCCCCGCGCGGTCAACCAAATGTGTTCACCCCGAATTTTGCAGTGAGGTACTACTTTGGTCGAGCAGGGGCCGGGGGCCCATCCCGCGCGCTCCAGCTCGCGCGCGGGGCGCTGTCGGCGCTCGAGACGGTGGCCATCTCCGACGCCTCGGTGGCCAACTACTGGCGGGCCGCCAAGGAGTTCGTGGAGCGGCGCCGCTTGGCCGCTTGGCGAGCAGGGACTTCTCAACCGCGGACGAGGTCGACGTCATCCGCGCCACCTATTGTAGAGGCCTCCAGCCGGTGACGCCGATCCGGGGCGATCCCGCTGTCGGAAGGGCGCTTCCGCCCCGGCGCGCTTGCGCTTGTTCAATTGAAGTGGTTTGGGAACAGCTTGGCAGCTTGGAGGCATCTTCGAGGCTTCCTGGGGGGGCGTCTTGGAGATGATTGTTGAGCCTCGTGGGGGCTTTTTGGGCCTCTTGGGGTGTATGCAGGAGGCGCCCTGGAGGCCTCCTGGGTGTGTGTAGGAAGTAATTTGTATGCCTTCGGGAACGCTTTTGGGAGCCTTCTGGGGGCCTCTTGAGGGTTCCCAGGGTTTCTTGGGGGGTCCTAGGGCAATTGTAGTGCCACCTGGGTGCCTCTTGGGCCGTCTTGGGCTCTTTTGGGGCCGTCATGGGGCCCTCTTGGGCGCTTCGTGGGCCCGTCCTGGGGCCCGCTTTGGCTGTGCTGGGGGCCTCTCGGGCCGTCTTGGGCCCTTCTTGGGCCGACTTGGGGCCCCCTTGAGAGTCTCTGGCTTGCGTCGGGGGTCTCTTGGGCCGTGTTGGACACCGCGGAAGCCGAAGAAGCGAAAATGCAACACATGTATGTTTTCCTAAGGGAATTGTGCATATTTTCCGTCAGTGGGCACTCTTATGAGGTGCCGGGAGGGTGCGTTGGAGGCTTCTGGATCCGTCTGAGGAACATATTGAGTGTCTTGGAGCGATGTTTCGGCCACTCAGGACCTTCTTGGGCCGTCAGGGCGGCCGCTGGGTTGTTCTTATGAGCCCGCTTGCGAGCTCTCCAGGGCGAGGGGCCGACCTGGAGTGAGCTGGAGCTCCGATTTTGCCACAACAATTGATTCGGACGCCCCCCCCCCCCCCCCCCCCCTACCGCGGCAGAGCCGCGGCAGAGCCGCCCCCGCGCCCGCCCCCCCCCAGCAGAGCTGAAGCTCAAGAACTGAGGCGGCGTTTGAAACTCACGCGCCGGATCGGCGGATTCGTGAACTCTACGTGGGCGGCTTCGACAGCGCCGCGGGCAGGGCCCTCGCGGCCGCGCTGGCGCACTGCCCCCCGGCTTTCCTTGTGGCCGGGGCGCCGTGCCCTCGTTCAGCTCGCGCCTTGACGGGGTGGCAGAAGTTGTTACCGCCGCGGATGTGCCTGCCCTTGCCTCGCGCGTCGATGGTTGCCATCGTCGGGGCCCATGAATCCCTGCGCCTCTACGGCGTTGTAGTCTTCGTCAGGCTGATGGTCGACGTCTACCTGAGGCCGAGCGAGGCTTGCCGCCTCGCGGCGGGCGGCGTCGCGCGCCGGGGCGACGTCCCGGCAGGGCGTGGGGCTACGGGCGCTGGGGCCTCATCATCAACGACGCCATTTGCAATCGCCCAGGCAAGACGGGCGAGACCGACGAGAGCGTGATTGTCGACGATTGCATTCTGTGGCCGCTGCTGGAGGCGCTGGTTCGCGGGGTGCCCCGACCGACAGCTTGCGGGCGTTTCGCCCCCGACGAGGTGCGCCGCGCGTTCTGTCGCGCCGTCTCGGCCCTGGGGGTCGCGGCCGAGCTGGCGCCCCGCTCGCGTTGTCATGGGTGCGCGTCGGACGAACTCCTCTCGTTGAGGCGAGCGAGGAAGGAGTTCGGGGGGCGCTGGCGCTGGAGGGGGGATCAGGGCTTGCTCCGCTATGCGCAGCGGGCCTGGATCCAGCGGCGCATCGAGAGCTTCGGACAGGCCGTCGCCCTCTTCGGCGAGGAGGTCGACCGCGGGCTGCAGGTGGTGATCGCGCAGACGAGGGAGACGGGTGCCTTCCCGTTGAAGGGGGCCCCGGCTGCGGCGCCGACGCCGCCGGCCGTCGGGGCGCCTCCCCCGCTGATCGCGGATCCGCGGGATTTCGCCTGCCGCGCCTGTGGCGGGCCGCCAGGCGCCTCCCTGCGAGGCGCTGGTGCCTCCCCGCGCCGGTGCTCGACGGGGGCGGCTGCGGCGTGGCGCGCGCCCTGAGGCGGGCGGGCCTCGGAGTCCTGTGCCCCGGCCCTTGGCGACGCTCTGCGGGCGACGTCTCTGGCCCAGTCGTGAGCCGTCGCGTGCTAGGCTGGGTCCGAGCAGGCCGCGTCTCGCGCGTCTGGGTCGAGCCCAAATCCGCGACCGCGCCGCGTCGACAGCGCCTTCCCCTCCGCTCTCCTCTGCGCCCGAGCGGCGTGCCATCGTTGATGCTGATGGGGCTCGGCGCGTTCGCATCTACGCGTGCGCGTGCTCCGTGTGCGTTCGCATCTTGTCCGAATGCTGCTCTCGAGGGGTGCCCGCCATGTGGTGCCACCTCGGCGCTTCGTATTTGTGGGGCGCCAGAAGTTGCGCCGGCCTTTTAAGCGAGGCCTCCTCGCTTGAAATCTTCGGCTCGTGCGCGAATCAGGACGTGTGGAGAGGTGATTGGGTTTGGCCTGTTGGCGCGCGCAGGACTTGCACTTGTTGTCTGCTACATGTTCCTCTGCCGCTTCGTTGCGTTGGCGCTCTCGCGCGAGGCATCTCGGCCTGCTGGGCATCCCATCGCTCGATGGGGCGGTTCGTGAATCTGCGATCTCTCCTCCCACCAGCGTCGCGTGGTTCGCCTGTGACAGGTTGCTGAGCGGTGTTGCGAGCCGTCGGTATGTCTGTCGATTAACTCGGCGTGCGTGACATTCGACAAATTCTTGCGGCTGTGGCCAGTGGTGTGGACTACCCGTGGTGGCTGCTGGTGGCCTGCCGCGGCTGCCGTCCTCGCTTGCTTCCCTCTGCGCACGTGGAGTCATGTGGCCTCGAATCCGTCCACGCTGTGCTGCCCGCTGGTATTTCTGGTCTCAATCGGATCGCACTACCATTCTCAGGTCTCACCCTCACACCCCTCTGCCCCGCATTCGACTGCTCTAACTTGGTTCTGGCCTGCCGCGGCTACCGTTCTCGCCTGGCGCCCTCTGCACACGTGGATTCATCTGGCCTCGAATCCACCCGTTCGATTATGATGGTTACGAGAACGATGGTGATGATGGGATGATGATGCTGGCGCTGATGGTGATGCTGCTGTTGATGCTGATGATGATGCTGACGGTGATGACGGTGAAGTTGATGCCGCAGATGGTGCTGGTGATTCGGATTAGCATTACGAGCGATGTGTGGTGTTTCGTGTGCTAATGATGCTTCTCATGATGATGACGGCTTGCCCGAACATGTTGTCGATGAGGTGGGTGGAGCGAGGGAACGAGGGTGTTGATGATATTTGGCCATATGATGATGGAGCTGATGATAAGGCGGTGGATGATGAACATGTGCTGATGGCGAGAGTGCTGGTGATTATGATCGCGATGGTGCGTATCATTGTGATTGCGATGGTAATGGTGATGCGGATGTCGGCGAATATGATTATTATAACGACTATGGCGATCACGATGTCGGTCATACTGATGATTACGATTGTGTTGTCATGATGGTTGTGCTGCTGATGATGCTGATGGTGCTTTTGGCGCTGCTTCCCATGATGCTGATGGTGATGGCGATAGGGGCTGCGTTTGTTGATGATTCTGATGATGAGCAGGAAGGAAACATGGTCGACCCACGACAGCGGAAATGAAGAGAGGAATGTAAGACATGGCAACGTTTCAAAGACACCTGGTCGTGCGACGGGCAAATGCAAAGCTTAAGCGTCGATCTTGATGTACCGTGCCGAGGGTTGTGCTGTGCAACGCTGTGCTGAATTGCGATGTGCCATGCCACGATTGTGCTTTATAGCGTTGTGGGTCGAGTCCTCCTTTGCATCCGAGTCCTGACCGATCTGATCTGGGTCGTAAGCTCGAGCTGCCTGAGCACATAACTACTAGCTGCCCCAGAGCTGGTTGGCAGGGGAACGTGCCAGGAGGACGCGCCGCGGAAAGTTCCAACGGACGCGCCAGGCGACGTGCCATGGGGACGCACCGCGGGACGTGCCGAGGGGACGTGCTACGGAACGTGCCAGCGGACGTGCCGCGGGACGTGCCAGTGGACGCGCTGTGCGACGTGCCAGGGGGACTCGCCACAGGACGCGCCACCGAGTCCTAACCGAACTGATCTGGATCTTACGCTCGAGCTGCCTGAGAACATAATAGCTAGCTGCCCCAAAGCTAATCCACAGGGGGGGCATGCTAGGAAGACGCGCCGCGGAACTTTCCAACGGACGCGCCAGGCGACGTGCCAGGGGACGTGCCATGTGGACTCACCGCGCGACGTGCCATGGGGACTCGCCACGGAACGTGCCAATGTACGTGCCACGGGACGTGCCAGGGGACGTGCCGCGCGACGTGCCAGGGGGAGTCGCCACAGGACGCGCCACGGAATGTGGCAAGGAACGTTTCAGGTTGTAATGTTGAGTGAGTGTATCGATGTTGATGTACCGCGCCGAGGGCTGTGCTGTGCTGCGCCGTGCTGAACTGCGATGTGCTATGCCGCGAGTGTGCTCGATAGTGTTGTGGATAGAGGCCTATGCTGCATCCGAGTCCTGACCG